GCGATAATTTACTTTTGTATTTAAATAAGTTTGAAAAACTATGTATATTAAATTGAATGGTTTTGGTTTAGATTTGATTTAGTAGATTATGGAAAATCACACTAGGGCTATTTGCCTAAAAGGAGGGATGCGTTCGTGGAGGACTTCCTAAGGGAAACTGGCTCATATGCGCATTACACATGGGGAAAACCACGAAAACGCCCATGCAGCCAGCCCATTCGCTTGGAATCGAACCAGGTGATTTCACCGTTCCGCAGATGGTAGGCTAGATTGAATGTATAAATAATGTATCATAAATATGCAAGGAAATTGTCTGAGTAAATTAAAAAAGTCAAAAGTTTGTAATTATTAAACAGCGATCTGTAGATCTTTGTGTGCCAAAATTTAATAATCACGAATCAGTAAATAATTTTTGAAACTATAATTATATTATTTGGTTTCACAATAAAAATTTAACAAAAAAATCTGTTCTCAAAAACTGCATTGTATGAAAAAGTTTCTTGATCTTAAAATTCCCTAGTCTAAGAATTTTTCTATTTAACTTATATCTAATACTGAGGTTTTCACAGTCGCATTACAAATAATTATCTTTTAAATTTTTTACAAAGTAGTTATATGTGTTGCGACTTATGTATCAATGGCACGTATGCGTTAGTGGTTCAAACCGAAATTGCATGCGGGCAGAATGCACGATCCCAAAGCAAATGATGGCCAGATTTTTTTTATCAAATGTTTACTAAATAAGAAAATAATATTTTGAATAAATTTTAAATTTCGCTTACTAAATTTTATTGAAACTTACATAAACAATTATAACAATACCGCAAAGGGAAAAAATTAATTTATATTTATAAATATTTTTATACACTCATGTCCATAAATTAAGGATAATGCAAAATCAGGCAAAAGAAGAGTTAGAAGCAAAACAAATTTGACTTATTTTGCAAAGCTTATTTATTAAACAAAAGGTAAAGAGCAAAACAAGATGCTATATGTTGATATTATTAAAAAAATAGCGATTTTTTCTCCCTGGAGCAAATTACAAAAATCACCTATTTACAAAAAACCAATATTACATGGTTGGTATGATTGTTAATACATTGTATGTATCCCAAACGATGCAATACAGTCCGTACAACGCCTAGGCATGCTGAGTATCAAATTATCGATCTGATCTTGGGGGATATTACACCACTCAAAAAGCAATGCTCTCCGAAGTTCCGGTAGATATGTAGGAAGAGGTTGACGGGCTGCAACTCGTCGGCCAAGCATGTCCCACACGTGTTCTACTGGATTCAAGTCCGGTGAGAATGCTGGCCAGTCCATACGGGTGATATCCTCCAATTGAAGGCATTCGCTTACGATGTTTGCACGGTGAGGACGGGCGTTGTCATCCATAAAGACAAATTGTGCGCCCATGGTGCCCCGAAACAAACGTACATGTTGTTCCAGAATGACGTCCCGATAGATTTGGCTTGTCATGGTTCCAATTTGAACATGTAGGCCAGTTCTTGAACCTAGAATAATTCCACTCCAGACGAGCACTCCTGCACCACCGTAACGGTGTCGTTCATTGATGTTTTCTTGGTGGAAACGAGTACCTGGAGCTCTCCATCTAAACGTCCGGCGAGAATCAGACTGCAAGCTAAACCTGGACTCGTCGGAAAACATCACACAGGCCCACTGTTGCGGTGTCCACGATGCATGCTCTCTACTGCAGGCTAATCGCAGGCGACAGTGAGTTGCACTAAGTGGAACGCATCTGACAGGTCTACGAGCATACAGACCAATCTGCCCTAAGCGTCTGTACACGGTCTGCCTTGAAATTGTCGTACCAGTGGCTGAAGAGAGCTGACGAAACAGGTCTGAGGCTGTGCTCCGCCTGTTTCTTTTGCCAGTAACTGCCAAATACCGGTCCTCATTCGGCGTTGTAACTCTGGGGCGACCTGTGCTGTAACGTCTACTCACATTACCATAATCTTGGAATCGTTGCCAAAGCCTGGAGATGACACTCTGGGCAATTCCAGGTTCGTCTGATACTTCCAGTTGGGTACGCCCACATTCCAGACGGCCGATAATTCTACCACGTAAAAAATCATCCAAATGCGTCCTTTGTGTCATAACTATTCGGTTATTGCACTGAAATGCTTATAAAGCGCCTGCGAACAATTTTACTTCTTTGCCTGTATTCCTTATATATCTCTCTTACACCCTCGTCATTGTGACGTGCCATCGGTGTCATCTGGTTACTTCCTGAAATTTGCATATGATTCTTGAAGATGTGTGCAGTGATTTTACAGGTGACATATTTATTTTAGAGTTCGATTTCCGCGTGACTCCGAATTATCCTTAATTTATGGACATGAGTGTATTATACATATAAAGAAATAATTTTTAGTTTTTAATGTCACAATAAACATAAAAACTAATTAAGTGAAACAATTAGTATTATAAAAAAAAGCATTTTTCGTTTTCAATGACTGCAATATTTTTTAGCTTTCTATTTAAAGGCTTTTTACAGGTAGATAAATGATCGTGAAATAACAAGTACAATTTGACTTTCCTGATGCAATATCTACATCGTGGTTGAAAACTACAATATTGATTTTTTTTAAACAAAAGTACTTTTGACGATTAAAAATGTTACACTTCTTAATTAGTAAAAACTTTATATATACTTAGCGATTTTAAAAAGAAGACAAAATAAAAAAGCAAAAATTCAAAGAAAACTACCTCTTTAGAAATAGCAAAATGACAATAAAAAACTTTTTCTCTCCTCAGCAAAGAACAGAAAACGCTACCAGAAACGCATTTAAATGCAAGCCATCTGGCGTCGCTTTACATTATTAACTTTAATACGCTAACGACTTAAACACACTCTAAATTTATTTTAAGAATTGTTTTAGAGTGTATTAAATACATAAAAGTAGACAACGTTTCGATGTTCTCTAATCCCAGTTTCTTAATTTAACGCGAGACGCCTATGATCCTCACAATAGAGTTTGGAAAACGTTGGGTTAAAGTATAAAAACTTACAAAGGAATCAAAATTAAATTCTGCAACCAGGGTATACAGATTTAAAAAATCTGTTTCGTGCACTAATGTTAAAAAAATTTATTGTGGTCGAAAAATAACAAAACATAATTACGAATTTTATATCGTCGATAAACGATTGATTTAAGTTTTGCTAAAAATAAACATTATATTGCTGCAATCTGAAAGATCTATGAAGGATTTTATGCTTAAGAAATCAAAATGGTTGATTTTACTATACTTCAACATGCGAACTGAAAAAATATTAAAACGAGAAGTTTACTGCTGTTTCTAACATTTTAAATGTCAATTTTAATATATTAAACAATACGTTAGAATATAAAATTAATTTAAATTTTTGCATTTAAAGAACTAATTAAATGAGATATTTTCATTATATAGTTTTGTTTTTAGCTCTTTCTCTCTCGTGATTCAGTTTAGTAAATAAGGAATTATCCATTAAACAAGGAATTTTACTTTTTATTATGAAATTTATGAATTTTACTTTTTATTTTGAGGGAGGAGGAGACATAATGCCAGTTGTCTCCTCCTCCTCCGATGTTTTAGCCACTATAAAGTGTTACCAGGTGCACCACGAGGAGGTAGATCTACGGCGCACCCCGACGAATGACGAATCGATTCATAGCATAGGTCAATTATGACGAATTGACCTATGCTATGAATCGATTCTATATTGACCTATTTAAGAACCCTTCCTTGTGGTAAATCACCTGGTGGAGATAGAATCTATTCTGAGTTTCTCTCCCATCTTAGTCCTAAAGCATTTGAGACTGTTTAGATCATTTTCAATATAATTTGGAACACTGATATTGTACCAGCTGAATGGCGAACTTCTATTCTTATTCCCATGCATAAGAAAGACAGGGATCGGGCTAGTTTCCGCAACTATAGACCAATATCGCTTACTTGTATTACGGGAAAGGCTATGGAGAAAATAATTGTGAGAAGACTTAATTATTACGAAGAAACTTGCGGACTTTTTGCCGAGGAGCAGGCGGAGTTTAGAAGTACCAGATTTACTAACTAACATGTTGCCCTCCTGAGTCAATGTGGCAAGGACGCCCTGGATAAGAGACAGGCCCTGACTGCAATTTTTATTGACCTCAAGTCTGCCTACGATAGAGCATAGCGGGAGTGCCTCCTACTGAAACTGTCGGGGCTAGACATTAGCCTCTAATTCATCTTTTAATTGAATTAGAGGCTTCCTGTGCCAGCGCTCTTTCAGAGTCAGGTACGGCAACGCTCTATCGAAATGAGATCTTAAAAACAGGTCAACCACAGGGAGCTGTTAGTAGCTGCTCCCTTTTTAACATCTATATTAATGATTTGATTTATAAAAAACGATAGATTTCTTGCGTTAAGTGTCTCTTATACGCAGATGATTTGGTTTTCGGGACAGTTTCTAAAAGAGAAAGTGCAGTGGTAGAGACTAAACTCTATGCTGCCTTGAATGCTTTGGAAGTTTGGTGTGATACTAATAATAGAGATGAACTTAAATAAATCATACTGCTTTTCTCACTTATGCACCAATCTTTGGATCTTCAGCTGACGTATAAGGGTACCCAAATTCCCTTGTGCGATAAATAAGAAAATTTTTATACGCCGATATTTCGGTGTAATGTTTGGCCGCAAACTGACATTGAAGCCACATGTAAAGGACTTCTCCAACCGTGCTAAGAAGAGACTCAGTGTCCTTGAACGCCTTGCTGTGGCAAGGTGGGGTTGCACTGCACAAACCCTGCTCCAAATTTATCATTCATTTATCCTCCCCTTATCCAGTAACTAAGTCTTCTGACTTATCCAGTATCCAGTAAATAAGTCAGAAGACTTAGTTACTGGATGTCTTTCATTCTGGAATGAAGTCAATCAAGATCTGACTAAAAATCTAAAGGACCCAGATGGGCTTTCTACAGAGAGTTTTTCAGTTAAAAAATTCACTTAATATAATGAATGAACCAGAATTACTTGTTTCACTACAAAATCCAATAAATTTGAAACTTTTCTGGATTAATCTTGACCTAAGTCAAAAAGTAGCCAAAAGTAATACGGATCCCTCTATTTTGAGAGCCTCCGCTTTCGAAGTATTAAACATTTTTTACCCTGAACCAGAGTGGCTTCGGATCTTTACTGATGATCCCTCCTGTCTGATGGCCCTAATGCAGGTGCCGGAGTTTTCTACGAAATTCTCTTTCTACTTATCTGTGGACCGAGGTTCTGTGTTTGACGGGGAAATTGCTGCGATTCGCACAGCTCTGTACCAGCTGCCATGCCACTTGGAAAAATTCACAAGAGCTGTTATACTCAGTGATTCCCGAGCTGCTCTGTTGGCTATCATTTCAGATAAATATCCCATATCACAGGACATATTGGATTGTCGACATTATCTTAAAACACTGGCTTCACTTGAGAAATCTATAATCCCCCAGTGGGTTCCTGCCTGCTGTGGGGTTCCAGGTAACGAGAAAGCCGACTTCCTGGCAAAAAAGGGTGCTTATCATGCAGAATATTTCTCGTCCTTTGCCTTTCCATACTGTAAAGGATCTTATTAAAAGATCTTTCAAAGTACGTGCTCAGGAAGATCTCTATCATCGTGTTTCTCATAAGTCTTGGAAGAATGCTATCCCGAATTTGTGTAATGGCCAAAGGCGTAAAACGGTCGCTGAATTCCGCCTTGCCACTGGACATGACTGTCTACATTATCAACTTCATAGATTCAAAATTGTTTCTTCTCCGATATGCACTCTGCAGCTCTGGAGAGGTGATGGATGCCGCACATCTACCCCACAGTCCTGCTCTGCGCGAGACTTTTCCCGCCGAGCGTTACTGGCAGGCAAGAGATATGTTAGATAAATTGACTGTTACACCTTTTTTTTAACATTGTGTTGTTGTATTCTATGTTCTTTGCTTTTGTTTTTTGCTGTAACTGTTTATAATCTGTAATTGGAAAAAAAAAAAAAAAAAAAAAAAAAAAAAAAAAAAAAAAAACCTTCTATTACGAAAAATGTTTCTAAGCATGAATCAATGTATAAAAGGTTAGATTCTATATTTTTAGCCGAAAGCAAGGGGTTAGACCCAAAGGGCTATTAGTCTCAAAATGGCATTTTGCGTCATTTCACTTTCTGCGTTGGTTCTCTTTTCAAACTGTAGGCACCAAATATTATCGCCATGTATTATATTTATAGAAACTAAATAGTGAAGAATCTTCGTGAATGCATGAATATTTATCGCATTGTGAAAAACAACGGTACCTAGAGCCATCAAATTTATCTATTCATTAAACCACTTTCGCTCCGACTGAATAGGGGAAATAAGATTTGCGACTATTGTTAAAAATTCTTTATTCTATTGATTTCAAAATGCATAATACTGGTAAGAAGGTTATTGATTTTCTGTCAACGAAGGAAATATTTTTCGTAATGCAAAAGAATGAATGTTAAAATCTGAAATGCATTTTAAATCCAATTTTGAAACACTCACACTTTACTATTAACGGCGATGGTACTAAAAATCAATAAATAAATTCTTATTCACGGAAACTTATCAAAAGTTAAACTTTTATTTAGAGCATATTATAATCCAATTAATTGCAGCGTTATACTGCCAGTATCTAATTTGTCTAGTTTTAATTTTTACTTCCTTGTGAGAAGTACAGTAAGTCTTGAAATTGCGAAAAATTATGGGTGTCATATTTCAAAATAAATACCAATTTTTACCTTTCCCGAATCCCATTTGCACGATAACTTTGCCTGATGTCTGTACATATGGTACAGAATAAAGGACTACTTTTCCAAAAAAGGAATAGCAAAATGGATCCAAAGTTGATTTTTTCGCGACGTCTGTATGTATCTTGTATAACTTCAAAAGGATTAGTCGTAGAATGTTGAAATTTTGAATATGGAACTGCTGTAACATCTAGTTTTGAACCTCCACTTTTTATTGCAATCCGTATCAGCACTATTTTTGATTTCAAACGTATATAAATACATATACATGTTGATTCTAAATTACTTTTACAAATTAAGAGGGATGATAGTATTCATCCAGATGAGCAATAATTACCATAGAACATAGGGTCGCATTCCACTTTGAGAGGCATAAAAGAAGAATATTAGAACTCCACCGTGATCTTTAAATAACCGTCTGAACTAAATATGAACTCTGTATCCCATAGAAGGACGCTTCAAGTAGAATGAGCGCAGCAGAGTAAGTCCAGGAGGGATGCCTTCATTGTGGACTTTCTAAGAGAACCTGGCTTGTATACACGTTACACGTGAGGAAACAACGAAACCAACGCCACCCAGTTGGCGGCATCCGAACCTCGGACCAAACTACCAGGGTTCAGCCACTTTCGCTCGGCCGCTGGTGGGCTCTGGGGAAAGAATTGGATATTTTTAAGCGTATTTATGGCATAAGGATACTTGAAATGCACTGTGAGCAGGAGGTACTGTTATATTAAAAGAGTTTCGACACCATGGTTAAATAGTTTTACTTCTAGGTACCATGTTATATCTGAAATTCCTATATTGTTAAATGTTAAATATGAAACTACTTGCCGTTAAAGGGAGTGATCGTATAGTGAAACGTGTACAGCATTTTTGCGTTGTGAAAAAAATGCATTCCGGGACCGCGCCGTGAGAGGATCGAAAACATAAAACATATACAAGATATAAAGGAAAAGTTCATATTAAATATATAAAGAAAAACATACTGTAAGAGGTTCCAGATTAAATATCAGTTTTTATTCAATTACAACACAATAAGAAAAATCTTAACCTCATCTGAGAGTCTGTTCATTTAAATTCATAAAAAAACTTAAGGTTTGTCTGGTGATTTAAAAGAAAGGAAAGGGAAACAATTTATGGCCTGAGAGTTAAATTTTAGATTCGACGTTGTTTTTTACTGCTAAGGACGTTTTTGAAAAAACTTGCCTAAAGTTCCAAACACACCAAAAAAAAATAATACTTATCTTGAGTGGACATCTTGAAGTGGAGGAGAGCTCATATCTTAGCTCTATCCTTACGTCACTTGGCAAATCCGCAAGACAGAGACTCGAACGGCACGACAATAAATTACATCAGCTATACCGTCAAATCTTACGCCTGCTACTTCTAGAAGAAAATTGTTTCCATAGAAGAGAAAAATTATTCCCACTGGAAGCAAGAGAACAGCTTACACCGCACGGCTGTCTGCCTAGACTCTCAGCTCCACCAAGGAAAACGTAGACAATTAAGCTAGGCATTTTAGAGAACGGCTAACGCAGGCTTCCAGTTGACTAAGGTGACATAATTCCTTCTGTTTTCAAGTCGGAGTTCAGAGGACATCGTCCTGACTTTTGCCGATACAGATAGAGACCCAAGTCTCTGTTAATTTTTTTGTTATTCGCTCAACAGTTTTTTTTTTCTTCGCATTTTTGAGAAAACCCGCGGCCGGGGAGCATAATTGCCGCTCCCCGCCGGAAGCACTGCTCGATGCCGACTAAATCTTTTCCTTTCTCCTTCGCAACACCCACAAGTTTTTTCTCAGTCTCCGTCAACAAGTCCGTCAAGCCCGAAAGTCAGCGAATCCAAGCAGTGAGTGCCTAAGCGAGTCCAGAGTAAGTGTGTCTCGCCTCTTAACCAAAACGCGGCCGGGGAGCATATTTGCCGCTCCCCGCCGGAAAACACCTCTCGGAGTCACTTACATTTTGTCCAGCAAGCCCAAAAATCAGCGAGTCAGTCCGAGAGTCAGCCAAAAGTAAGTGTGTATCCAACTCGAATTTCCTTCGTCTCCTTCACAAAACGGGCTCCCACTATGGCTTCACTTATCGCCCCCTTAATTATGGCAAAATCTTCGTTTTCAACTCCAGAATGCGGAAATAAGGGTGATCGCGCATGCGCGCCCTTCTTCACTTAGCCAACAACCGGACCCTCAATCGCCAAAAACCTGAATGACTTACATTGAAAGACAAGTAGCAACCTTTGACCTTTCCGTCACGTACTTTCCTCTCTTAAGGTCAACTAACAATGAAAATTCTTTCTCGAACATTCTAAAGCGCGCGAAATCATGACTTGGCAAAAATTGCCTCCCTTTCCCTGCTTCTTTCACAATGAATAAAAGTTTGTACAAGATTTGCAAATAAGAGGAAAATAAATAATACTCTTTTTTAAACTAAATAATATTTCCAGAAGCATCTGTTTTTCCCCAAAATTAAAGCCTTAAAATTAAATAATTCAGAATCAAATAAAATTTAAATTTCCATAAATCATAAAATCATTCACCTAATTTTTATAACGCTATCAGATAATTTCTCTACATAACATTCCTTTCCCCTAAGGAATTAAATTTTGGTTTACCAAAATTTAGCAGACAGACACTTCTTGAAATACCATGACTCATACTGTGCAATAAGGCTAAAGGATAACATAATGTAACAATATTTCACACGACTCCTTGGTAACAGTGACGTTACTGACACATTAAATTTCAAGTCCAAAATGTGCAAGTAAAACAACAAGATTAATCAAAGCAATTACTAATTAAAATACTCAAGGAAGATCATCAAAAATAATTAATCAAAAACATCAATTAAATCACTTAATTAATTAAACCTAGAAATATTCAGAACACATACAAAAATAAAAATAAAAATAAGGCGTTAATCACAAACAAAATATGTCTAAGATCAATCAATAATGACAAAAAGAATTTCTCTTTTTTTTTTTTTCAGTTCATTACATCACACTAGTGTTGCAGTCTCTGTGTGGCCACATTTCTGAACGTTTATTTATCTATTCATTCCTTTTCCTTTTCAGTCCATTAATGTAAACAATTTCACCTGAGGTCGAACACATTCTACTATTGTGACAATTTCTGCTGAGCACAATCATGGAGTACATTAAATGAGTACGGAGTTGTCAATGCAAGCGAGGGAAAACCCTGTAGTTAGAAATCATTGTGTTAACAACTCCCCCCTGCAGCCTTCAACGCGAGAAAATGAAAGCAACCAACCCCGGAATGTGAACTCAGCACCACAATACTCCTTAGTAGAGGAACTTGACCTTAAAAGAAACCAGATTTCACCCTCCTACGTCTCACCTTCGACCAAGGAAGAACAATCACTCTTTCAAAGTTGAAGAAGACTTTATCTTTCAATTTTTCCCTTACGATAGATAAGCCACTGAATGTGTTCGGATACTCACACCCGAAGAAAGAAATAATCTAATCCAATTGTTCACACCAAAAAAAATGAAATAAATAAAAATAAGATAATTAACGCGCCGCAGATACATAAAATACATTCCTGAGAAAAGAACACACTAATAATTCAAACAATTCCAAATAAAATATGTCACATGAACGTATTCAAATAAGGAGTAAAGACCCCTAAGTACTACGAAATTGAATAACTTCCAGGAATGAATCCCAAACAATCACGTCTAAGAACAGAAGCGGCCTGATCAGGGCCAAGCATTAGAAAAGAAAAGAACGTTACAACACAAGGAACCTCGGAACCAGCCGAAAATACCCCACACAAAAAATCAGAAAAAAGAAAACGTGATTGTCCAAAAAT